GGAAGTGGTTGAGTCCCCATCCCTGGAGGTATTTAAAAGACGAGTAGATGAGGTGCTTAGGGACATGGTTTAGTGGTGGGCATGGTGGTGTTGGGTCGACAGTTGGACTCAATCTTAGAGGTCTTTTCCAACCTTAATGATTCTATTCTATGATGTATTAACAGTGGAGCGATCAGCCACTGGAGATTCATATCGCTCAGTTCTGCACTGTCCAAAGGATTATGGCAAGATTTTGACTCCTCTGAACACTTTGATCCAGTCCCCAGTCATCGTTAAACATGTCCTCTTGATCCCAAGGACTCAAGAGAACAGTTCCAGTGAAAATCCACGAGGTGAGTATTTCTGAGTTAATTAGGCATGTGTGAAAGTATCATGTGGAGTCAGTAGCGTATGGGTCTGAATGAAAGAAGGGAACGGAGTAGGGAAAAAAAGACAAATCCTTAGAGCTCCAGAAAGAGAAATACATAGTTCCTGGCAGAGCAAAACTACAACACACAGATTCAGGAACAGAAGTGATCTCAAATAATGTCCTAACACACGCTTTAAAATTATGCCTGCCAAATAAACACAAAGACTACTATACCAGAGGGCTTCTGTTCTGTTTGTTTCCCTCCATTGGCCTGATCTAACGCGTCTTGAATCCTTACCACAACAGTCTCTCCGGTAGTGCTGTCGGTGGTTAGAACGGCAGGAGTGGAACTGATGACAGCTGTCGCCAGCGGGGCATGTATTGTGTTAGGGAGCTGAGCAAACTCCGGGTGCTTCTTGCGAATGTGCTGTACCATCTTCGTCTACAGAGAGATGCAAAAGAGCATTAGAGAGATGGTCAGCAACTCTGCTTCGGGCCAACTGAAATCAAACAGCCCTGCGGACTGCAGCTTTTAAGTTTCCCTCAGTAAGGCAGCATCAAGATTCACACTATGGGATGGTCTGGTCAGCAAGAAGGAAACAAGGATCACAAAGTTGCTGCCGATTAGAGCTATCTGATACTGAAATATTGCCCCAAAACGTCACAACCCGTAAGCTTTTTACTCCAACACAGCCAAATATTTTGGGACCTTTTCCAGAGGTCACCCCTTCTGCATTTTGTTTCCCTGCTCCTCTCCCTCCTAGCTGTCAGTGAGGAGTTTCCAAGCTTTTCCATTTGTGACTGCACTCTGATAACATTTCCATTTCTTCTTTCAAGCTCATGCCTTCTATTTAGGGAACTTTTTTGCCATACATACAACGAGCAGGCTGTGCCTGCATTGCCAGCACGCAGCATGAAACCAGCACTCTGACTCAGACTGAGAGCGCTCTGCTTGCGGACTGACAGATGACAGAGACTGTGGTAAGAAAGCATCAAGAAGAGGCTGTCTTCTGAGGCTACGAGACAACCCCCGTACCTTACTGCTGTACTGCTTGGAACAGTGAGGACAGCAGACCGGAGGGGTGGCTATGGTGCCTGTCAGCTGGGTGTGGGTGCTCAGCATGGGATCTGGCTCTCCTGGGCCCGCAGGGCGCAGTTTCCGGATGCTTGGAGGTAGCTCCGCACCAGGATGGTTCTTCAGGATGTGTGCTTTGCGTTTACTGGCACTCTTGTACACCTGCAGGGTAAAGATTTGGAATGAAAATGGTGTAATCCTGATGTCTGCGCAGAAAACAGCTACTAGTTATCTTTATCTGGAAGGTCTGCCTGTTGCTTTAAGCAATATGTTTAGCTGAATCCCCAAACAATTACAACATAATGCATGAATATACATACACCTTCCAGTGTTCAATCAACCTGTAAAAGCAACCCCTTTTTGTGCAGCATGCAGGAGCCATTTGAAAACACGCTGTGCGCCACAAAGCAGCGCAGGAAGGTAAGAGGAAAACTTTTTTTGCCTGATACTTGAAGTTCAAATGTCAGAGAAGCCACTGATCACCAAAGTTGTCATTTGTCCAGTGTTATTTGTCATGAGGGTTGATGCCTCCACTCTCACACAAAGCATCAAACGATTTTAATAGCCTTCAGCGATCAACATATTTTTAAATTCTTTTTAGGCATATCAAACAAACAAATATTCTGTAATATTATTTAAAACTATCCCTTTTTTTCCCTTTAAACAAAAGGAAGGAGGCATCATGGAAGAATGTACTGAGGATAAGAACAGTCAGTCAAAATACGCTCCCTGGTAAATAAAGGCCCACATGCATAAAAAGCAAAAGCCAGGGAGTAAGAACAGGAACCCAAAGGCAGTGCAGAAGAAGCTTCAGGCTCCACTGAACACTGGCAATTACTGGCACGTGACTAAGCAAGCAGCTTAAAATAAAAGGAGTTAAAGACTGACTTTTAGAAGTGATACAGAAACCAAAATAAATCAGTGTTCAGGAATTAGAGAGATAGATAGGGTACTTAGTCCTGGGTTGCGAAAAGCGATACAGGACTAAGGGTGGATGACTACTTGCTGGACCACAGTATATGTTTTACCAACTCCAAAGACAGCAGAAAAGGAGAACTGCAGTTTTCAATTAGCGTTCAGCTGCCTCTGAGTATTTAATTTCATTTAAGATGAAGTATTTCATCTTAATTTCTTTTGGATAATGCTGCAGAAATGTTGCTGGCAAGCACCTCAAAAAAAAAAAAGCTACAAATGCTGCCAGATGTTTCTATCCAGAGACAAATTGGTTGCATGCAGGTCTAGGACTGAGCTACCCTCCGAGGGGTGACTTCCTTACATACCTTATCACAGTACTGACAGAAGTAATCTCTGTTGGGTTTGATGATGGGCAACGTGAGCTCTGGCACCTCTTCTATTTTCATGTCTGGATGTCTCTTTGATAAATGATTCACCTTAGGAGAAAGAAACAAAGAGAACAAGAGAGCATATTACACATGGAAGCCAAGCAATTGCTTCTTCTCCTAGACATGGATAACAGCCAAACCAAAACCGTAATGATGCTAGCCAGCAGCACCGGAAGCATTTGCTGCTGCAAGGGTTATTGTGCGTTCACAGTCAGCCGCTAAAGGTAAACATGGTCTTGCTAGATCTCATTTACAGTTTCGCTAATCAAAATAAGATGGGAAGGGGTAAAATAACTTGCCAGAACTCTCTTGCAGCTGAGGGTGAGGTAATGTAAAGGACCTCTGCCCAGGGAGGCCTTTGCTAGCAGAGGTAACAACCCTCATGAAACATCTGCAAATAAGATCTCTTGCTGCGTAACACCCTTTACACAGTGGCAGTTACAGGGCATGGCCAGGAGAGGCCCCTCCAGAAGGGGGAGAAAAAAAAAATAAGACAGACAGAAAAACTGAGGCAGTAAGGCTGAACTAGGCAATATATTAATCTCATGTTCTGCTAAATATGTTACACATCAATCAGCATTAGTGTTGAGATACGGTAGTGACAACCAGACATACAACACAGGCAATGAAATATGCAAAGGCACACATTTGCTGAAGAGACCAGACACACAGTTTTGAAAAAAGATAAATAATCTCAACTCAGCTACAAAATTCTCCCAGTTTCACAGCATCCTTGTGTTCCAACCATTGGAATTCCATCTTCATTCCTTAACTATTCATCAGAATTGAGTACAGAAGTTGTAAGAGAAGCTAGAGCACACAGACACTCACCAACATCCCCCTCCGGCGGAAACCCATCATACAGAGCCGGCACTTGAACATGAAGCTTTCGTAGTCAGTGGAAGCTATCCGAGGCTTGAACGTTTTTGAGCGGCTGATTCGATCAGCTTTCTTGGCCTCCCTCTCCGGGTTGTGCATCCTCTGCATGTGCTCTCGCAGCTTGTCTTTCCTCTAGGGAAAGAGCAATCGGGGAGAAAAATATCAGCACCACTTACTGCCTTAATACCTGTTACAAGGGAGAGCCACGATGTAAGTTGTTCGGAGATCTCTTTGGCTTTTCGTCTCCAGTGCTGCCATCAGAGTTGCATGCTCAGTGTTGGGACAGCTCAGCAGGAACCCTTTGGGTTTAGGTTTATCCTTCAAACCAAGGCTGAGGTTGCTCAGCCACAAAAGCAGGAGCCAAACTAATGCTAGCTTAGCAGCCTCAGTGAGAACAAACCCCTCCACTCTGGCTTTTCTTTGAATTTATCTAAAATATTAGCGCTCAACTCTGTACGGCTGGAAACTTGCATCAAATAATGCTCTTGACTGAGGAAGACCTCAAGTCCTACAACGGTACTGAACCTACCTCCCAGATGCAACCCAGCCTCTTTGGACACACACTATCTAGAACGTGCTTCATCACCCAGAAGTATCCCATAAGAAACTAAGTGACAAGGAGCAGGCTGATGCCACCACAGTTTACCTGGCTCACAGACCGCTCCATCCGTTCTGGAGGGATCTGGAAAGGCATCTGGATGTCATGTGCTGACAAGCTGCATCCCATGGACACAGGCACCTCGGCCAGGAATATTATTAATCCATCGATATCAGCAAGAAGTTTTCTTAACTAAACTGATAAAAGCAATACAACCCAAGCACCTGGCAATTGAGCTGTACAATGACCCAGTTCTTAATGAGCAGATGAAACTTCCTTTGCTATTAAATTATTAGAAATAAGATCTCATAGATGAAACACCCTGTTACAGCAGAGCATGCCGGGGTGGATCCTGCCCCTTGTCCATCAGAAATGAACGTCGTAGCTCACACATGACACAAAGCAGTGCATGCAACTTGCAGGCAAGTCTAGCACGTTTACACATTAGCTTCTTCCACCTTTGAGAACATGAGCTTGTCTACTTGAAGGAAGGAAGAGAATGGTGTTCTCCACCTGTATCAGGAATGATCCGGTCAAGAGTCATCTTACCTTGAACTGCTTGCCACACGTGGAGCACAGGAAGTCTTTGCGGTCTGAGTGTCGCAACATATGGAGTCGCAGCTTGTCAGGACGGCAGAAAGCCTTGTCACATTCTGTACACTGGTAAATCTTTTCTGAATGGAAACTGCGTACGTGTTTCTTGACCTAGAATTGCAGATCATAGAAAAAATGAATTTATTTAAACTAGAAGAGTGCGTGGTAAAACAGTCTAGGAAACTCTTAGCAAAAAAGAAAAAGAAAAAAAAAAAGAGGAAAAAGGTTCTAAGAGTTCTCTAATCTGCTTTGGCTTAAAAAGTATTTTGTCAGAACAGTTGATATCTTGGCAATAGTTTCTATAAAGCCGTAACATCTTTGTGATCCACCTGGATGGACAATTTGATTTCCTCAAGACTGATTCTTGAAGGCATCAGCTATTGCACAGTTGAGCACTTAATGGGCAGCAAAAGTCCACGATGTACCAGTTTTACTGAATCATCCTTGTGTTAACAGGTTCGTCTGAGGTTCATGATCTTTACTTCATTTATAAGAAATCTAAACGCAAGAACTAATTCCTTTCAATCAGAGAGTATGAGCTTGCAATTACAATTGGCAAAAACAAACAACAAAACTTAGACAGACAAGCATTTGCATGCCATTCCTGAATGGCAATTATTTTTGCATACTTTGGGACTATCCTTGACCTCTTCAAGCATCTAGTGGGATTTTTTTTTCCCCAATAAAGTAACTAATGAGGTTTGACATTTGAAATCCAAGCACCACTCAAGAAATGCATCTCTAATTAATTCTTTACCATCTTCTAATACTGATCATACATGGAAAAACTTGGTATCTTTATCGTTCCACATAAAAGTATTTAAGTAGGCAGCAATCTATGGTGCCTAGACTTAATTATTCACACGCACCAAATGAAAAAAATCATCTTTGAATTCCAAAATAGAGCTAAATAGCTGGAAAAGAGCTGTGGGACCTTCTTCTGACTGGCTCAGTTTCACGGGAAAGTTTATGGGGAATCGGGTTGCAGTACAGCATTTCTGAATCATCAACATTTTTCCTTGTTCAACATTTACAAAAGATAAAGGTTTTTTGCCGGGATGGAATTATATTAGTAAATCACTTTTCCCTATCCTTTCCTCTTTAGCCTATTGGATAGTCTATCAGTTCCTATTACTTGACATAAATTGAAATGTAGAAATCCAGTTTAAGTCAGGCAGCTCAGCAAGACATACCAAGCCCTTTGTCCATATGAAGGATAATGAATATCTACATAGTACGTCTCAGGTTTTTCTTACTGAACATCGAAATAGCATCCTTAAATTCTATTAACGATCTTCTCCAATGGCTCTGCACACTGCACAAAGTAATTACATTACTCACTACTCCAGTGCAACCTCTGCTAAGCAGTGTGCAGAGAAGAGGAGGAATAAAGTACCCAGCTGAAGCCCAGGGGGAAGCCAGGAAGCAGAGCATCCTGATCTGTTCTGGCATTTCTGCAAGGTGTTCAAATGTATTACCCTGACAAAAACAGTCAAGGGATTAAAAGATATTTGTATCATGTAAAACCACAATTCTTTTTGGTCCAGAGTTTTAACGACAAAGGACAAGGTGTATTCAAGTACAAGCTGCATACAGCAAAAGACAATCCCTTTTTGTGCCATGGATCTGTACTGACCAAAAGCAGTCGGGACCTCTGCTTTCGGCATTTTCTGGGGATAAGGGACCACCCCTCCCACAGTACAGTGCCTTCTAATGCCAGATTGAAGTACCACACCTGATGATTTAGTGGGAAGAGCACTTCAGCGGCATAAGACAACATCTAGCAATGCTTAGTCACTCTTCCTTTTTAATTTCTGACTGACATGGACCCCTTTATCTTGTGAGAATGAACTGACGTGCAGTGTTACACAAGAACAGTACTGAAAATTCATGAACAGAGCACTTGCAAGAGACCCGGAAGGCAGCGCTTCAAACCAGTACGGCATCTCACCTGGATAAAATCTGGAAAGCGTTTTTTGCAGGTAGGGCAGGTGAAATAGCCATCGTTGACATGGATGGCCACATGATCTTTAAGCAGATCCAAGCGGTCAAAGGACTCAGGACAGAAAATGCAGGAGTATGTTTTCTGGTCCATGTGGAACTTCATGTGGCTCTCGAGAGCACCGCTGTTGATGAAGCCCTTGTTGCAGATGTCACAAGTCAAAGGGCAGTTCCCTTCCCGTCCATGAAACCGCAAATGCTGATCCAGTTTGTCCTTCTCCCGGAAGGCCTTCCCGCACTGGAGGCATTTGAACGGCCGAAAGGATTTCCGTATGAACAGGTGCTGAAGAGCTGCATTCTGAAAGAAACATCGAAGAGACCATTTGTTATTATGTATAGAACCCACATCCAAATATTTTCAAGATTAAATATACCAGATTATCAGTGAACCTAAACTTCAAAAAAATGCTTCTGCATTGTAGATTCTGTCTCCATTTTACAGAAGGGGAGGGTGTGACAGGCAGAAGTTAAGGGATATACCTGCAGTTACACACGGAGTTAGGAGAACACAATGCAGGAGTTTCATCTCCAGTCCCTGGTTTTCTGCTGATTGAGCTAACTTTCGTCTTTAGCATGGCATTTTTCCGTAAAATAAAACTAAGTCCTCTCTGAGATACAGACCTGGGCCTGAGAAAAGCTGCAATTCCAGCTGATTACTGGAGATTGGGTCAAAAGTTCAGCCACCATACAGAGGAAGGGCAAGCTAATGCCTTGTCTTTCACGCAGGAGCAGGGCTTATGAAATTCCACAGCCCTTTACAAAATCAGCCCCTGCACCAAAGATCACCACAGAGATGCGCAGCAGTGGTTTAGCATTGCCTGGAAAACTTCTGGTGGAACATACACTTAACCTTTTTGTTATTATCAAGAAGAAGAATAGAGTTTCAAAACATTACAGCAGGGGCAGAATGGCAGGTTTACAAGCAAAAGTTAAGATCTTGTGAGCAATTCGCCTGTCTTTGCCATTTAGCATATATCACGCGCGAGAGCCTAAAAACTAAGAAGAAAGATGAAAGACAAACACACTGGTGCTAAATCAAGAGGAACTCCGATAGATTCTGTTGTCTGCTCAAAGGGTAGTTGATTATACACAAACTTGAAATTGCTTTTCTTGGTATTGCAAGAAACTATGAATATCGTGAATTGAGCATAATGTGGGTTGTGTGAACATTCATTTTAAAATTTAATACACTGGGCTGCTCTTCTCTGTTCTTCTCCACTCCTACCGTGCACAATTTCTCTTCTCAGTCCCTGCTTTGTTTTGGTGCGTGCTTTCCTTCAGCCTACCTTTTCTGTAACATTTCATGATTGTTATCTCTTCCCTTCCCCTTCCGATAAACATTATAGAGCCATCCCAGTCCCGAAACCACCGCTGTGTGCTGAAGGAACAGATGCTGCTGGGCATGTTGCCTGTAGAAATAGGCAAGTGTGCCCTGCACCTGCATTTCAATGTTGGATGAGAACTTTTACGTTGGATAGTTGCAAAGCTGGAAGCAAGTCATACCTCTGCATGCATGAAATCCCACAGCCCACTATCACCCGTACTGTACTGAAACTACACTGCAATACTGCCATTTCTCTGCCAGAAGTCTAAGGAATATTTTACTCTTCTCCAAAATAAGATCTATACATCGGCACTTATTGATGTCTTCTCTTTGCAGATGTTACACACAGAATCTATGCCACAATAGTTAAGAGAAATAGCGCTAGAACATTGCTGGCACCTGTGCTTACACACGTTCAATACTACATACTTCTCCACGAGATACTTTCAAGACTTCTGCAAACACATTTCCCTGGTTTCCTCTCGCCTCTTCTTGTGGGAAGAATGTCTGGGCTGACATTTGCTGTGTCCCGTAAGTGTGTGCCAACGGCTGACACTGAGAAAGTAAAGTTAGGAGCTTTTCTGCCGGAATGAGGGAACAGCTTGGGAATACTGTGAAGTGCTGTGCTAGAGATTAAATTAGTGAACCTGAATGATCCTTTTCACCATCTGAACTGCAGAGGGAAACCTATACTTTCATTCCAGACAAAGTGACATGAGAGCAACTGCTTTGCTATTAAAAAAGCTAACAATTTCATACAGGAGCCCCAAATGAGCCCTCCCGTGAATTGTCGTCATCCCCATTCTCTGTTTTACAAGGGGAGAAGGGGAGACAATAGGAAATACACGGATCTGCTGTAAGTCAGACCGGGAGTTGGCAAGACAGACATGTGCTGTGAAAAAGTTAACGTGTTGGTTGGAGTCAGAAGTATATAATTTTCCCCTTCACTACAGGGATATGCTAATAAACCAAACAGCTGAAGAGACGCACTTCAAGTTCTTAACTCCACTATTACTGTACTTTGCTGTTTGTAACCCCCAGCAATCTGACTGCTAAGATAGCAGGCCAGACTTCTATACCGTGTAAATCAACATAGTCCCGTTGCTGTCTCAAAGGCTACAGAAGGGTGAAACCTTTTACTGCTCTTTGGTGAGATAAACTTTCAACCATAAAACCAGAAAAAGACAACTAGATGTTGTCTCATTAACTGATAAGATTGATCCAGTGCAAACAATTGCGTAAACAAATCCTCCAAAACTTTAAGATGGATATTACAGTATCTCATCCAAGCAGTTTTCTCCTATAATATTCACCTTAAATTTGCAATTAATCAGTATGAAAAGAACTAGAAGAATGCAAATTGTTATTCAGATTACACTTAGTTCTGGACATCGGTTGCTTAAAGAAGAACAAATGTGACAATTTACGATGTGGGATCAATCAGGAGACACTCAACAGAAGTTGGACAAAACAACATGGAAGGCGATGTTGTTACGTACCATTCGATTAGATACAGCAAAAACCCAACAAAACAAAAAACCAAATCAAACCTACCTGCAGCTCCAGCTGAGCAGGCAGCATTGAGGGAGAGAAAAATACTTATGTTATGCAATGGACTTTAAAACAGAAGCCTTGACTTCTGCCATAGTCACGCTTCTGCGGGTCACTACGAGGGCCAGCTCTTCTAGCTAGAGTTTACTCTTTACCGAGGCAAGACTCCTTTGAGGTTTTTGCCTCAGGAAACACTAAGCAGATCTTCAAGGTTTACCCTGTAGTTAGTAACTGCCCAAGGGGAGTTAAAGGGCAAAGATAAAAACCACAGATAATCTTGAAGGTGTTTTGTGACCTTTCATGTTTTCTCAGAGTTGATTAGTAATGATGTGATGTGTATGGCACAGCCACAGTGAGAATGAAATGCTTTTAGCAGAAGGGAATAATCAGGGCAGGACGACAACAGGGCAAGGATTAGAAGAGTGAAAAAGTTAAGGAGTAGGGACTTTTTTTAACCTCATTTTACTGTTTGTACTCTTCGTTATACAACCGGTTGCATTTCTTTCAGCACGAAGGAAGTGACTGTGCTTTCCAAATCATACCCCTACCCCTGCCAGTTGCTTCCTCCGAATAAAGCAGTCACCTACACAAAGGACATTTTAGGATCAGGTCTGTATGTAAAAAAAGGCAATTTGGAAATGCAGATGTTTCTGGGATCAGCCCATAGACACTCTGGACGCTGCCCAGAACTGAATTAAAAACAAATATTCATTTTGGCTGCAGACCACACGTTCCTCTAATTTGTAACAAGAGTATCTTGAAGGGTGGGTGTATCTCTTTTCAATACTAAGGACACGACTGCCATATTTAAGGTCTGATCTCCAAGGAAACTCCACAGGCTCTAAAGCAGAGGCTGAAAAATGAACTGATCCTATCAGGACTTGAACCCTGTGGCATCAGAGATCAGTGCTTCCAGCTAGAATGAAAGCACTCTCAGAGCATCACTGCCTTAAACCTTAGAAAAGTCGAAGCAATTCACAAAGAATTACTGTTTTTGAAAATGTAATCCTACGTGAGTAATAAGGAAGAACTAGAGCTACACAGGTCTCCAGATCATAATCAGGAGTCAAGACTTTCTACCTGTTCTTTGGAAGCGACTGATTTACTACACATCTTAAAACCACATGTTTGCTTGCTTATAACATTAAGTGCATGTTATTATAAGAAGGTGCTGCGAAGAGTTGAATTGAATGAGTGCTCATAGGGTGCTAGAGCTTGCTGTGATTTTTCAGTGCTTAAAAAAAATTAATGCTTGCTGGTTTACTCTTATCTCAAGTTCTCATTGCTCACAGTCTGACGCAATACGGAAAGGTCCTACGCAACCATCCATCTGCCATTCTGCCAGTGCCCCTATCTTGAAACATCTCCAGGACTCTGCTGAACACGAGCTGCCAGATGTATGGGAAGTTAGGGAGATTTGGCAACACAAACACATCACCAAGGACTAAACCACCACTGCACTCCTCTTATTTGTCATCCATTTGTGATGAATTTCCAGGGAACAAAAGCTAAGTCACAAGACAAAGAAGTAACTTCAGAATTTCTGTCCCTTTCTTCCCACATTTACTGTTTAAGATGATCTTAAGTTCACATCTCGGGTTCAAAAGTTTGGGGAAACAGGCAACGCTTTTTCTTTCCATCGCACCCAGGCCTTGACTTTCTACTGATGAAGTTGTGGCATATCACAAGCAGTAAATACCCATGCCCTTTACTGTCAAAACTCAGCATCTGCCTTTGTACTCTGTTATCCACCCTACAATACATTCAGTAAAAATCCCCCAAGCTTTTAACATATGAAAATCAAATTACTGGTAGAAGCTTGTCATTCTGAGAGTGCAAGCGTCTTATATGGTTAGAAATTCCCCAGTCTTAATGTGCCTGAGCCAAAGTCCTCCTTCAAGATATGCTGCTGCATTTATGAGGTAACACTACCACTGGTCTCGCATATATATTGCTATAAACTGAGAGCAAAATTTGGCTCAAGATCTTCCGATACGGAACAGTTAGTCAACTCTTTTCTAATCCTTTCTCATCCCCTAAGAATGAAGTGTTACCCCAATTGCAGCTGTTCCTTTCTGTAATCAAAATTTTGCACGTGGAAGAAAAAGCAAAAGATTTTAGGCTAAATAACCCAATCTCACAGTTACATGGCTTGAAGGATTATTTGCTTGAATCATTTCCCTCCCACACACAGTAGAGAAAAAACAGCTCACCCAGTTGACACAAAGCTCAGGCTCAAAGTGTTTGCTGTCGGTACACAAAGCTCTTAGCACAGGTTTTAATCTCAAAGACAGGCACGTTTTTCTACCCCAAGAAAGGACTTTATCACTAAATATCATCATCATCAACTAAGTGGATCTAAACTGAGGTCGTGGTTCCTCTTTGGCAACTATTTGCAAGACAAGAGTTCTGAGAGACACAGATGGTGCTGTGAACAAGTCATTACTCTGTGCCACAGTACCATGATTCAGCCGGCTGTTCGAAGCACTCCTGCTTGCCAGCTTGGAGGGACTGTGTTTCTATGAAAGAATTACTGTGCTGCAATTGAATCAGCTCCAACTGGTGACCAGTTCTCACTAGCATCTCATGAGATACTAGTTCTTTACATGAGATTTGTCTTCCTCTCAGTGCAAAGAAAATTGCTAGGAATGAGATGCTTTATTCAGGATTTGGAAATGGATACGACGGTGAGAGAAAGGGACCAGCTGGTCCTGGCAGGCAGGTCCGGCATTCACTGGGTTACAGCAAATGGAGAGGGTGAGAGAAGACGTGACCCGCTGTCCTCTTTGCTTACCCTGATACGCTTTGCTCGCCTCATGTCATCTGCTGTCATGGTGCTCTGCGTAGGCACCGTGCTCTCATCATGCTGCGGCTGGATTTGTAGCGGGTGGTTTTCTGACTGCTGCTCCAGTGCCGACTGTGTCTCTGATGGCACTGGAGTCTGTTCCTGCTGCTCCAACCCATTCAGTGTGGCTTGTCCGGCCTCATCAAACTGCCCCTTGCTGGAAAAATGCAGCAAGTCCTGAAATCGCAAATCATACAACCAGTGATTATTCCCCCCACCCACTGAAAAATGCATTGATAATACTCAGCAGACAACAAGATTTCTACATACTTAATCACAAGCTATAAACAAAAATGTGTCTACACTAACGCTTTCCTACTGTGTTCCACTGATGCTCTCAGCAGATCACCTCCACCTACAGCAACAAGATTCAGAGCGCTAGGGAAGAAGTGCTGCAGGTAGGCGACTCTCTTGGCCATCGTATTGTCTGATCAGACACAGACAATCAAAACCACCCAGCTGTTAACAGCCAAGCAAGTTCTTCTGCACTCGTGACCCTATTACTGCTTTAACCAAAGATGACATAGGCTGACCCGTGAGAAATTAAGACCAAAGTGACTAGCGCAGACCAGGGAAAGCGGAGTAGTTCTGTCTCGTTGAAATCATTGTCACTTTGAAACATTATCATGTGTAGTTATGCAGCGTCTTCTCCTTTCTAACAAACTAGCTGGAGTGCTGAACTGGAGAGTGACAAACAACATCATTATACTGTGCACCGTGTGTTTTGCTATCCAGTTTCCAAGCTCTGCGTACTCTCATCTACCCAGCTGCATACATCACTTACATTTCTCACACAAAGCTGTTTTCCTCCTTTTTTGCATTAGCATAAGAGATAAGGGAGGGTGTCGGGAGCGGGAAGCACATATCAAAAATCTACATTCTTTCCATATAAATTCCAGTAACTCCTCTGGGATGGAATCCTCCCGTATTACAAGGAAAAAAAAAAAACATAGATCCTTCCTTGACATCACTTAATGCAACTCAGGAAACTTAAAAGCACAAGCTAGGAAATGGAGCACCAAAAGCATATCGGCTCAAGGCTGGTACTGTCAAAGCACAAAAGCAGGTGCGGGAGAAGAAAAACAGGGAGGTGCCAGAAGGAGCGCAGCTGTTACAAACCGTGAATGCTTACCAGATAGAGACACTTAACAGAGCAATATACCAGCCAAATGTCCAGTCCTGGTCTAGGTGGCAAGTTTCCACACTTGCTGACACTAAACTGTGCTCACAGCATCCCGAGACTCAAGTTCTCAGGCAGGTGAACTCACGCCTAGTCATTAGCGAGGCGGGCAGACCTCCAAAGGCTTGGGACATAACCACGGCCCTGCTCGACTGTAGACACACGTGAGCTAGCTCTGGGCCATGCTCCAAGCTGGCAGGATGTGAGCCACCTCCAGTCCAGATGCCATTCAGACACATTAGCATGGGACTGCGCCCAGTAAGCCCTGTCTCTCCGGAGTTAAGAGTTTGGGAACAGCATTATGCTTACTTGTCTAAATGGAGCTGGCTTGGGTCACGTCAGCTTGCAAAGGGGGTGATCTCGCAACTGTCTGCACTCAACGCAACATTTAGGGCAATTCGGCATGCTCAGAAAACGAGCGGCAGGCATTCAGAGGCAATGTATACATTCCTCCCTCTGAGTCAGCACTGAACCATGACCCAGTGAGATGCCAGAGGAAAATTACCACTCCAGATATCAGCTTTCAGCTAAGTCATAAAACAGAGCCGCCGATCCCTTGTGACACCTTTCATAAAAGGACTTGGTGGCAACTTAAGCGTGGTCAGCACCCGAGAGAATTTAGCATTTTACTTAGATAAATGCATCACATTAGGTCCCTCTAGAATACAACCCCCAAGCAAGAAAACATTTTGCAGTAAGAATGCCTACAGGAGGCCCTCTTGTTAATATTAAAACATCATAAAGAATCATAGCTCAAACCGGTTTAATTCTACCAGCAACAGTTATAAGAGCAGACTCTGACCTCACGTTCCAGAAAGGACAAATACAAACCTAAATTCCCATTACAGTTTTACTGTCTAAATTACTTTTGCCGTGCTGCTAAAGTGCCGCAATAACCTATCTCACTGCTAAGTGCTTTGGGATGAAAGTTGCTGTAGAAATGCAAGTGATTTTACAGGGTTTTTTTATAGAAGGAAAGTAGTGTGCTCCCTGGCAGAGAGTCACAGCTAGAAAAACCAAGACTTGCTTGGGTATAAATCCAAAGCACACCCTCAATTTGCACTGATGCCCTAAATTCTTTTAGTCAAGAGTTTACATCCCACGTGATTTTTTTTTTTCCTCCTCCCCATCCCCCAAAAATATACCTGCGTCCCTTCTTCACACTTTTCCCCATTTTCACTGGTTACTTCCATACGCATGAATTTGGGAGGGCGCCCTGGGCGTCTGCCTGGTCCAAACCTCCTCTTTCCTCGCCCACGACCTCGGCCTCTGGCTCTGCAGAATACATAGTGCTCCAGGTTAGAGACAAAAAAAAGATGGATTTGGAATCTCCACTGATTTTATGCATTCCTTCTCAGCATCACTATTCACCCATTCAACTCGGTAACAATGGCCTGCAGTAAATAATAAAACCTGAACAAATTCTGGCAGGAAAAAAAATAGGGTACTGGCTGGTATCTATTTATTTTGTGCTCTATGAGAAATCAAAGTCCAGAACGCATTAAAATTTATTTCACTAATCGTGGGACTGAGAGGACTACTGGCTTCTAGCAAGTCCTCTGCCATGGCAACTCTCCTACTTCCAACACCCCAGCGTACAGCGTGCTGGAAAGCATTTTCAGTGAGATGGAACAAGTGCACAAGGAAACCAATTTAAAACCTGAAGCCATAACATCCCTCCCCAAAAAGGCACTTAGCCATTGATGTCAGGCAGTAAACTGAAGGGAACAATTTTCTGTGTTGAAAAGAAAAGAAAAGAAAATGCAGCCGCTTGCTAAGTTTCAGGAAAAAGGTGGCACCAATGTCTTCTGCTCTCTGATGGATGTTTGTAGATTCAGCTTTTAATAGGTTAGGATAAACTATCTTGCCAGCCCAATGAGAAGCCAAAGCACTAGAAGTCTCGTTCTCCAAGCTCTGTATCTGCATACATCTGAGAAACATCAGTATTTCAATTTTGTGGTACTGAAATATTGCAATTTTTTAAGTTGCTGGTGAAAAACCAAAAGCAAACCAAAAAAATCTCACCAGTTTCAACGGGGTATTTATTTCCCTCAAGCTACTCCTTTCGCAAAGTCTCTTACACCAATCAGCTTCCCAGTGCCATATTCTTACCTTCCGGCGCTGAGCCGTTCTCTCTTGGGCACCCAAGGTGCTCAGTAAGATCTGTAGGGCAAATACCCTCCTTGCTGCAAGTTTGGGGAAGCACCGTAGTGATACACAGACAAAGCTAAAGCTTTCGGTACCTGCTGAAGAAGTCCAGCTTCTCATCGTGGGAGTTGAGGTGCTGCTGGAGTTGCTCTGAGCTCATGAAACGACGATTGCACTCATAACACGGCCAGTTCTTCTCCTGCTCTCTGAGAACTATGTTCAATTGGAAATGTCAATAACAGCATTTCAGTCACTACCAATTAAATGCCTCATTTTTTTTCCCCAAGCCTTTCTGTCCTCTGTGGGCCGTATTTCTCCCCTGAAGCTTAGACAGACTGCAGAATACCCAGCACTGCTCCATTTAGCTTTGCTTTTATCCCCTCTGCACTGTGGCATGACTACAGCTCATCGCAGAAGGACAAAAAGGTTGCTGGGGACAATTCACGTGGACTATATACACTGCTTGAAATTCAGGGACATTTTGAAATATACCCTTGTAAGGAAGGGCACCTACAGGATTGTCTCTCTGGCATGGATTAGGGGAGGTCAAGAGAAATTTCTCTATCTAAAGCAGTGGCACATCGGTTTATGACACAGGCTCAACATTAGACATCAAGTACAGAAACATGCCCCTTTCCAGCAGCAACCTAATGCTTCCCAGAAACTGAGGCAGAAGGTTAAATTATTGTAATATTAGCATGAGAAGACTTAGCAGAATTAAGTCCCAATAATACAATCTAGATTTGGTTTAACTTTTCATAACCTAGCAGAAATTTGGGAGCGCTATGCAGGCCATATATTTGAAACTAAGAAGTGCAACACCCAACCACCATCAGACTGCAAAAACTGAGAGCAGAAGAGCCCAAGTTACCCTTCCTTTCCTCCTCAGATATGTCATGGATCTTCTGGTTCACAAACTCTGCGTAAGAGGCAGCGTACCACACCTGCAGCAGGGATACAAGATAGCAGAACACTTTCTTAGATGAAACCAGAACTAAGGGGAATTCATTTGAAAATGTTTTTTAAGCAATACATTTACTTCACTCGCCTCAACCACTGACTCTTATTGCTCCTTTCATCCTCAATAATAAAGCCTATTGAGATCAATATGCCCCCACTGAGGAATAAAAGAGCTTTGCTCAGAAAGCATATCCATTTAATTTTAAGGTATAGCCTCCTAATATGAATGTTAATCTCACACATGGCTACCAGTAGCTCTAAAGGAAGAAAGATTAATCTCTTCAGACCCAACTGTACGATTGCAAAGGATGGATGTCAGCAGAGTACTGTTACTTGCTGTACCAGGAAGAATGGAAGAGTTTTTCACTCGGGGGATTTCCCATTTCTTTCCCACTCTCTTTACATAGACAATAGGCAGCACTGTCCACAGAGACTCATTAGAAACATTTAAAATGTTTCTAAACTTCTGAAGGATTGGAACAATACGGTCCTGCTTCCCAACACAAAGAAGTGCGAGGCTGCAGCATGCTGGACCCACTTTTGTTATACAGGGGATTTAGGAAGCCTTCAGCAGAGAGAACCACGGGAGGCAGAAAGACAAAGTTGATTAGAGCCTGAAGTCAGATGCTCACATTTAGCTGAGAATTCTTGCATCATTTCTCATTTTACCTTAGCGTTTGATTAAAAAGGTTCAATTTTAGAAGAGATTTTTTTAAAGAAGGCATGAACAGATTTTCAGCATGAAAAACCTGGGCCAGTTTAAACTTGTAGTGGGCCACAGGTGTTTTCATAGCAGTGGTGAGTAGCATTTCTAACTCCTTCAAAGACTCACTAGCAGGTGCGTGTTACTTTGCAGTAACTCACTAGCATCTCACTTAGCAGGCATCTCACTAGCTGGACAAAGAAGAAAGCCTGGAGTTCCTAGACTACTCACCTGTCATGCAATACAGAAGTTCTCAGCTTTAACTGACTGCTGATCCTCCTAGCTCCATCTTTGGACAAAATTTATATGAATGGCCCTACACGCACTTGGGGAGGAAAACCCATTACAGAGCCTAAGGTAATTAGCTTTCAATTATCAAACCAATTTTACCCCAAAAGACACTACTAACACATGAAGCAAGAAAAATGGTGCTTCTACCAGGCAGGTCTGTACAGATTTAATTAAAGTCTGATTTCAATTTGATTTAAAAACTGTTGAGAAAATGATGTTTGGCTACGCTTAAAATGTATTAGCAAGGTTTCTAGTGATTCAGCTTAAACAAATTAAGGGCTGATTTCAGAGAAACCAAAAAGAATCCTACTCTTAAAAATCAGCAAATAAGTGTGTAAGCAGGCTTTTGCCCTGGTTTAGCTAAGTGTGTTTAACACTGGTTTTTGTTAAATTGTTGAGATTCACGTGCAAGAAAAGATTTCAAGAAGGACAAACAATTTCCTGATATCAAAGTGGTTTTGGTTATCCCAGTTCCCCAAAAGATGTTGAAAACGAAGGCCATCTCAGCCAGCCACGCTGCTTTGAGCTCAAAGTAATCAATACGTTTTTAGAGGGAACAAAAAGTAACTCACAGGGAAGTCACAATATCCTTTATCATTTTCCACATGCAAAGTTTCAAAAGTTCCAGGAAAGCCAGGTAAAGTGAGAGACCATATTCACTTAAGGCACCAGAAAACAAGTCAAGGGCACACAGGACTAACTGGAAAGGGCATCCAGAACTAAAAAGAATAAGACTGCTGCAATAAAAATTAGATTGCCTCAGCAAAATATATGCAGTGTAAAGCATGACAGTGACAGACAAATCATTTACATACTCTTATTTTAAACTTCCTCATTTTATACCTGAGCCAAAGCTCACTTAAAATCCCCAAGTCGGTGGCTAACTACTTACTGACTTCAGTGACATTTGATTCAGGCCATCATGTGCTTTATCAGAGAAAAAAGCCCTAGAACTATTTACAGCAATCATTTCTGGCACTTGGAGATGCACTTATTAGGTAGCAACTCTACGATTTGATTTCATCAGTAGAAAAATGAGTCACGAAACACGAGCAATGCCATACCTTGAGTTCCTGCTTGGGCTCCACGTTTTTAATGGTTGTGTAATAAATATGGTGGCCATACTGATACGCTACCAGGTTCTGCTCCAAATGGTTTTGAGCTGGGCGCACAAACATCATCCAGTTACAAAGAGCCTCGCTAGAAAGTTCAAACCACAGGTCCTCTTGCAAATCTCTGTCTTTTCTGTCACCCTTATCAAGAGACACCTGTAGCAAAATCCAATTACATATGACTAACTGCCTGGCAGCAGGTTCAAAAGAATTTGAGTCTCTAAACCTACTGTGACCATGCAACTTTTACATTAGGAAAGCAATGAAGGCATAGCTAGTCTTCTCTCTTTGCTAACAGGGATCCAGAAACAGGCAGCACTCAGAAAAATACTTAAAAACAGGCAGAGATTTAACCAGGGAGACACGAGAGACCCTTCCATGGCTTTCAAGGGCAAGAAGCATTCATTAAAAGGGTCAGGCACAGTACTTGACGTGTGGCTATAAGTGAGGCACAAGAAACTGTAGCTTTAGTAGGCTATACGGCATCAGTTGTCAGATGTTTCTAACTGGCAGACCCACGTCTCCTTTGATTTCCTGACTCATGATGCTGCCTCAAGCTGGAAGCAGCGCTTCTTCAGCTGAACTTCTGTTGGGTTACTGAACCTGCCTGTGGTCACAACTTCCTTGTCAGACACTGACCAACAGAGACCTGCGCTCCTATGACTGTGGACCTAATCTCCAGCAAATAAAGGACCAATTCATATAATGAAACCAGTAAATAAATGGATAAAAGTCAGTCAAATCCCTTATACCTCACGCCAACGACTTGGCATCAGGAAGGGGAGAAAAATCTCTCCTCTCCCCTACGTCTTGTGGGGGAGAGGAGGGAAAGGGGAAGAAAAATATTTTTAACTTAAGTCACAGCATGACACAAAGCGATGGCTGCAAAACATCCTCAGATGGGGCTGCTATTTTTATGTCCAGATGCTGCTTCAGCCCACGTGAGAGTGATTCACAGCATTCCACGTTATGTGTCTTACATATCATAACACCATAATGCCAGAATATTCACCACGATTATTGTGTCTCCCTGAATTACAGAGTAGATTTCAAGCCAAAGCAATCCAGGTATTTCTGAGTTACATTCCGACACGGAACAACAGAACATCTCTAGCGAAGTAACTGATCGAGGCAGAGCGACAAGTTCATGAAAATCAAAGCTTAGGCACAAATTGACCCCCCTTCTCTCGCGCGCACACCCCCTTACCTTCAAATGGATATAGCAGTCTTTGAGTTCAGTTTGTCTAACCAGGGGTCCTTCCACAGGTCCAAACTGCGTGCGTTTTGGGATACGCCTTTTGGAGAACACACCTCCCAAAAACCTGTCTATATAGAGCACCAAGGGAAGGCTGGCTCTCGCCCTGGTCAGCACAGGCCGGTTTGGGATGGGATGCAAAGGTCCGTGTTTTGGACACACAGAGGGATGTGCATTATTACACTCTTCACACCCTACAACACAAAGTCAGAGAGGACGTGACTGTCAGGCAGACACTCACGCACCAGCTCAGAAGAGACAGCCTTATCTCTCTCCAAACATCTTTGGCTCAGCTGTGGGAACATTTATTCCAATAGTCTGTCTATGTTTTAAAACATTAGAGAGGGCAGCCTCCTGCAAAGTGAAGAACAGAGCAGCTCAGAGACTCCACCTGAGACAGAACCTTGTCTTTTCAGTAAGGCAGCCCAATATGAGTCTACATTTCTGGGTATAAAGGGGTTTACTTATTATTGCTAAAATCTGAATGGTTTTCAGCTCCATTTACTAGAGGGCTGATGGAGGGGAAAGAAAAAAGGGGAGGGTGGCTAACACACTACATACTACTTCATATGCTTACACAAATCATTGGGATCAAAGGGTCGAGGTGGATCTGGATCCCATTCATCCATGTCAGTGTCTTCCCCATCTTCTTCCTCATCTTCATCCTCATCATCTTCCTCTTTTGTTTCCATCCTTCCCATTTGATTCTGCAGAGGTGCTAAAGGGTCAGAACCATCCACTGCCTCCATAGGAGGTAACACCTGGTTATGCACCGGTAATGATGCCTGAGGAGAAAATTCACAACAAACAATCAAAACTGATTCACGAAGAAAAACGCTTCTACCGAGACGAGCAATGAAGGTTCTTGCTAGTCTACCCTTTCTGCTTCCTTTGGTAATGGAAAGAAGGACAAGGGAAAGTGAAGCAGCGTGATAAATGATTGCTGAGGGACGTTTCACATCGCTGCTGCTGACAGCCTTGCTCAGGACAGCTCTGTGTCACTACCTAGCTCTACCTTGCAAAGGACTGACTTCTCGGGAGAAGAAACTGAAATCAGAAGTTCTGGACCCTCACAGAAGGTCTGAAACAGAGTCCAGGCTCTGTGGAAATTTAGAGCCTAAAGCTGTATTTTAACTTCTTCTGTACAAGTGAGAGAATCCTGCACTTTGGCACATGATCTTTTCTCTCCTATCGTGCAATCGAATAAAAACAATCCCCAGAGCACACGTGTAGAGATCAATAAGGGATGAGACAACACGGGGACTAGATATAAGCTATGGGACATGGAGGACAGTTGAGGGCATTGTATTCTCTCACTAATTTTAAAGTTTATCCCTACAAAAAAAAAGAAGCAAAAATTAATTGAAGTGCACTGCACAGACTATTCCATCACCCACGCCAGTTTCTCAGGTAGAGAACAAGAAATACTACGCACAGTAAAGCTGTCTTAAAAGACTGGCAAAGAGACCCAGTGGATGTTGGTCCTATGTGACAGTCAGCATTACACCTTCTGTTAACTTTGCTTTTCAAAGCCGAGAAGACTATTTTAAGGTGGCTGCTCAAGACAGAACAATCTGTAGAACAGGTTTCTCTGTATATTAAATACATGATCTCTCCCTAAAAAAACCCCACACATTCCATGGTGAGACTATGAAAGACAGTACAAATCTGTGCTACAGCTTTCTCGCATCTCCTCCCATATCACTCGGACATGTTTCACCACCTGAGACAATGGAGCAATGAAATCAGTGTACTCGTACATTTAAAAGAAAAGGGTGCCTGGCAACTTACTCTATCTGCTTGTGGACCCTGCTCCAGAGCCATTTGCTGGGGGGATTCGGCAACGTTGCCGAGCACGGACAGGTTGGTGGGATTCATGCTCTGAGCAGCAGCAGGCAAGAGCACAGTTACCTAAAATTATAGGCACTCATTTTAGCACTGCGTCATTTCCATCAGTCACTTACATACGGGCAGTGCCCTCCATGCAAAGCTCCCTGGAGTCCTACGCTAGGTCAAAAACCGCAGCATTTTAATGATTTTTGTTTCCCCCCCCCAGTAGGGATGACAGACTTGGACAAAACCTGCAGATCCAGGGACAAAGGGAAAGGCTTCAAAACTCAGTCTAGATTTTGCAGCTTTTGAATTTCTTATCTCCCACTTTTGGCTTTCAATTAAGGTCCGATCCAGCCAGGGTTCAAACTGCACTAAAAACAGATGTGAGGAGCTCTAGCTCTTGGTAAAACCAGTGATTTGGGGTCTTTTTCTCTTCTACCTCCAAATTTACTTTTTTTTTTTAAAGGGAAAAGGTAAAGAAGGAAAACGAAGCATCTCCTTTTTGCCTATCTCTTTTTCTCAAGCCAACCAAGATCTGTCATAAAAATAAGATGGTGTATTGACCTTGTTGGAAGATCAAGCACTCAAATGAAAGAGTTCCAACAATTATTTTTTCTTTACGTTATTTGGTCACACTATACATTTTTGGTTGTTTTCATACTAGGTTTTTTGTGTAGTAACATGAAAATTAATGCAAATTACCATGCCGCTCCCATCCATTCAGCAATAAAACAAAGCGGAATTAAGATCCTAGGAATCACCTTTCCTGTCTTTTGTTTCCTGCTTACCTATACAGGAATTTGCACCGTTATCCCGCATGATTTTTCATCCTTCTCTACAGTTGACATCATGTGGCTTCTAGTTTGTGCCTCTGACTGTTAAACAGCTTTTACGCTGAAATTAAATCCCCTGCACCTCTACGGAGTGTTTAATAAATATCAGATAAAACTGAGAACAGCGAATTGTGCCAACAGTGAAGGAGCAGACAAGAAAATCCGTAACACAGGCAGATAGACAGCCTTAAAACTTCAAATCTAGTTGTTTTGTTTGAAGAGGTATTAAGAGTAATTTATGAAACTGCTTAAAAACTACAGCAAAGAGACTTCAGGGAACCGTGTGACAGTGAGGAGGAAACCGCCAAGACGACAGCTGAACCAATCTGTCTGGTATTGACATTTCTGATGCCAAGTGGCAACAGAAAAGGCATCGTTATTCTATGGCACACCTCCAGGTCTGCCAGCAATGAGAGGTTCACACAAGCTTGTGTCTATGTGTACCTCATATTAGCATTTCCTACTACTAATCACACTTCAAACATATCCTTACTTTCACTTCCATGTCAGACACTGCAAGGAATAGGGGCATTATTTTTAAAAAACTTTCAATTTCTTTTTAAGATGACGTTTCTTCTGAAAGACAAGAGGAGCTTCAATATTATTTTAACATTTGTTGTCAGTTCAGGGATGTTCCACATGAAATGCTGATGTAAAAACATCTGCAAAGGCAGGAGCTGCCATAATGAGGGACTAACCATTCAACAAGCAAATGAACATCTCTGCTGGGACTGCTGTCAGACAGCGTGGGAAGGGAGGACGGGCTGAGGACTCACAGACAAGCGGCTCATGCCCTTGATACTCAACATGGGATAGTAACAGCACACCACCTCCGCTGTCACGAGTGTCATTTGCACCGCACGTATAAATAATCTCTACTTTTAATTAGATCATATATTTATTTGTTAAATGAGCTTTAAGACAAATAGGATTCTTTGGCTTCTTAATGCAAGGAAACCGATGTGGTAAAAAATTCCAGAATGACACTCCCAATACCTCCAGAGAACTGGAAAGAAAACAGGTAACACCTTTACTGTGTCATTCATATAATTTCATGCCTGTGCCTCAACAGTTTAGAAGGTCTCCTTTTAGCAAGAAGAAAGCTTATTTTTGATGCACATTCAACCCTTCACTCTGCCCCAAGACTGTCAACAAATACGAATTTTAATGATGGCGTTAGTAACGATTCAGATCTCACATGTCAATTCACACATGCCATTAAAGACTCACCAAGCAGTAATGATTTTAAGTCTCTATGACAAGCAGAGAATTTTAACTGGAGATCTAGATCCGAAAGCACCTATACCTGATTACCACAATGCAATCACCAGAGATACCAGCAAAAGTTAAGAATAAAACCTTCACATCCATGACAGATGAAAAAAGAAAGATCATCAAAACTTTATAACCACAGGCTCCAATTTTGTTCTGTTCCTCGCCCACTTCACACTGGCAAGCACATCAGACCTGGGATGCCCTGGTAAGGTAAGGGAGCCAGCAGTTGAACTTCTTCAGGTTTTACAATTAATTTCCTGTGAAGTTTCTGGTAAATCTAGAATTTGATCCAAGATTTTTATCCCTTGAGAGCCTTTTATGGATTTAAAGGCATTTGGATCAGAATCTGTACGAGGACCCAGTCTTTCCAGAATGACGTTAAAATCAAGTCAGCCACATCAGCTTGCTGACTTAAAGGGACACTGTTAACAGATTTTTCATTATATCTGGGGCAGTAAATTAGTATTTTTGTTGAACATGAATTAAAAAAAAAAAAAACAAACTCAAACTCTCTTAACTTTTTATTGTCATTCATGCACAAACTACCCCAAACTCAAACTCTCAACTTTTTATTGTCATTCATGCACAAACTAGACAAGATAATAGTGGCTTGTTATCACAAGCTTTTTGCCTCTGATCACTGGGATGACAGTACATGACTGAAGGCTGCCATTTGACAGATTCAGAGATAGCTTTATTACGCTCTAGCACCACAACAACGTCCCTTTACCTTCAGTAACAGTCTCCTTACAGTTTCAGGCCCAAGGAAAATAACATCTCTTTCTTACCTGCTGGGTGGTGGCATCCTGTTGGACGTAAGCCACTTGGGATGGATCTGTAAACAGAGTCTAGACAAAGTGAAAAAGGCTTATCAAACCGGCCTTGGGGTTGTTTACTCCCAACTCACACAAAAATTACCCTGCCACCAAGAAATGACCCACATTTGATCCTTTGCTAACTTCTAATGCGCCTATTACCACAGCAGACTAATTCAACTTACCCATGTGAACCTACACACATAGAGATTAAACTCCATAAAAAGATAATATCGTATTTATGTGGCACTTTTCAGCTATATACTTAAAGCGCTTCACAGGATTAATTTTTTTAAAAATACAGAAATCACATCGTCAATTGCTGTTTTGATAAATTCTACAGAATGAAATTCAATAGCTGTATGAAAGCTAAGTGATACTTGAGGGCAGGACAGAAGATGACCATTAACTTTATCTTTCTGCAAATTCACAAGAGAGTTCCTCAAAAGAAAGCATGTAGATATCAGGCATACCCTACATGTGAATTTAATATGGCCACGATGTTGGTTTTTTAATTTCATAGAGACACGCCAACTGCAATATTCTCACGGTAGCTTGCAAGAACAGCCCTGATGAGAGGGCTTCCCCCTAGGAAAAGCAAGACTCAGATGAAAACTAAGTATTGACTGAGGTCAGCCTTGCTTACTTTGCCAAAACTTGAAATAACCTGAGCTGGTAGCAGTCTGGCTCCAACAAAACAAAGCATGGCATAATACAAATTCCATTAGCGCTTTGATAATTTCATCTCAGCTGCAGGATAGTGTCTTAACACTACACGTCTTTTGACAAAATGATAGTAATCAGATTCCCAATTCATTACTTGGTCAGTAACTTCCTGGGAGGTAGCCTCGCAAAACACCTTATCTTCTCAGAACATCCCACCAGGTAGGAATTGTTTTTGTGTGACAGCTAAGAACTGCACAAGAGAGAGACCACGCCGCACGAGGCTATGCCAGTCTTGCTGCAGGTGTCGAGTACGTGCACTTTGTAGCATTGCTAATCTGTCCTGGCAGCAAAGACAATATAAAACATTCTTGACAACGCGTGCCTGTTCCTCTTTTTTTTTTTCTGTCCACACAGAGGTACAGATGCATACCATATTAACCCCATATAAACACATGCTGCCAGAGAATAAAAGCTATTTGATATAATTATGAAGAAGAAAAAGAACCTAGGTCTATAAAATCAACAACTTCTCTGAAGAAAGACTACAAAATTAGACTGAATACACTGAGATCCTCTGCAAAAAGACTTGACTGTTATTGTAACTATCAATTATGAGAACCGTACTATGCAAAACAAGGACTCTTCCAGAAGACACATAGATGCCTCTTGGCATTTTAGCAAATACAACAGAGGCAGGATTTCTGGAGAGATTATCCATGTTTTGGAAAACACCTTTGATCTAATTATAATCTCGTCCACCTTCAGTGAAATAACCAGCATTTCATAATCCATAGCCTCGACATCCTTTGATTACCACATTCGCACATCAGACAAATGAACAGCATGAAGTCCCTGTTCAGCAATGGGCAGATAAAAGCGTTAAGAGCAACTGCCTGCTATTTTCCAGTCATATCACTTGGCTGGTAACTGGCTTTAATCTCAAACAAGATTGTTTTCTTTTCTAGGTGCCAGAATGGGGTGGGCTCAGAACCACACATGCCTGCGTAGCTTCCACGGGATGGATGTAAACGAGCGTGTGCTCCGAGGTGTCCACGGAGGTGTAGGAGGTGCCATCCGCCGCGTAGACGACCTGCTGCGAGGGACGGTCCTGCTCATCACTGTACACGATCTGTGCCACTGTCCCCCCCTCAGGCACAAAGTGCACCTGGAAGAAAAAAAACAGATCCCGTACTGAAACCGAAACATATGTCTATGGGAAACAACACGAGACACACAGGTTGCAAGGTGCCTTGGAAAGCAGAGAGTACCTCGTGTCCCAACCTGAAACCGAACATATGTCTATGGGAAACAACACGAGACACACAGGTTGCAAGGTGCCTTGGAAAGCAGAGAGTACCTCGTGTCCCAACTTCCTAGCCAATTGTTTTCAATACAATAAAAAACTCACTGTATAATACACATTTAAAATCTCAGTGAATCATGCTAGCAACATAGAAATCTGGACATAAACTACCACCAGTTTCTGGTTTTACTCTGCATTTTAACTCAAGACCTAACTGGTACAAAGGGCACCTTCCCATACTTAGCTCTTGTACGATGCTTTGAAAATTCATGAAAGAAAGAAAGTTCAGATTTGAACTGGTGTATCTATGGGATTTATTGGTATATTGTTTCCCTTTATTCTCATATTCCTTTCTGGATTTATGATAATTACTTCATTCAGCTAGTTCTGTAGTTGGAGGTAATTTTTTCTGTTTGATGAACGGCTAACGGAACCTATTAACTTTGATACTCCTTCAAGTAATAGTATTGCACCTATCATGAGGAAGCAATAGTGTATGTTAGATTGCTTCTCTGTAGTATGTACATACAGCACTAGTAGAAAATCCAACTACTTAAACAGAGAAACATATAACTTAAAACATTAAGCAGTGATTCCAAGGACGACTGGAACAAGTTATGTCTAGGGCAGCAGTTTAAATCCAAACAAGTTGATTTTGACAGAACATAATGATGATAAATGATGATCAGTGGCCTACCTTAAAGAAGCTAGGATACTTAATTCCAGTGGCAATGGGAACATGTTTATCTTTTGACACCCTTTAGATGCTGAAAACCATTTTCAGCGCATGGGTAAAATAGAACAGTTAGCAGGAAACCTAGTTTCAGTATCCACACTCATAGTCACATGAAGTGTTTTCACATAAAAATATGTGGGGAAAAAACCTGTGGCATCATTTTATTTACTTTGTTTCACCTTCTAGCTTTTGTTTTAGAAGACACCTGGTACTCCCCGCAGATGCTAAGTGCTGATTCTGTACAATAAATCCTCATGCAAACACTACGGTAAGGATGCATGCAGTGTTTCACATTTGGAGAGCACTCTGCAAATACTAATTAAGCCTTATAACTGCCACGTGCAAACACAGTATGGTTATTCCATTGTAGAGATAACAGAACACAGGCCACTGAAAAGTGCCTTTCCTTGCAAATTTCAAAGCTGGAAATTACCAGGAGAGTCAGAATTTCTCAGCTCGTGGGTCAAATGACATGCAGCACCCTCTTCATAACATATTCAAAAGAAGAAATCAATTTACAGTCTTCTAGAAAGTCTCAGCTGCACTGCCTCAGAGACAGAGGGACTAGCTGCATACATCAGAATCTGACTGTATTAGTCACTAACAATTAACATTTCTCCCTTCCCCACTACCCAGATGTCTGACTGGAAAAAATTATTCATATTACTTTCCCCAAGGTCCACCCACAGTTCCAACTGATTCGACTGATGCCATCAAAATGGGCTGCCACAGACCACAGATTTTGTTAATACTCATTAATCTGAATACCCTTTCACTTTCCCACGTGGTTATACGTATATTTGGACACCAAAACTTCTACAGCCACCGGCTGGTTTTGTTTAGCTCGTTTCAGATGTCTGTGTATTCGCTGCCGCAGTTTGCCCAGCTCACTTTCTGAAGCTTTAATCTGAAGTCACCACAGATGTGTCTGTATTTCTCCTCAAATGAAAGCTGAGTTTCCAGACTGTAAGAAACAGTCAAATGGGAACACCTGCTTGCTAAGCCACCGCACCGAGCCCAATTCAGTCTGAGCAGAAACCGAGAGCTCTGGAAGGCACTAGTCACCTGAGCAGTATTCTGTTCCTGCTCAGCAGAGTCAGCCCACACCTGAGGACTTTCCTCTTTTGAGTCCATCTCCTCCCTGCCGTGGTGCTCCATGAGCAGAGAGATCTACTGGGGGAACGTCTGGCTGAATAGATTCATCTGTTCACTGTGTTTCTACTTCCAGAAGACAAGGTGATCTTCAGTAACATGGCTATAAAAAAAAAAAAGAGAAGAGATGGAGATATTAAAACAAGGGTGACACACGGAACAGAGGCATGAGGTATTATCATCAGCTACTGCACTACAGGAACACGCTGCCAGAGTAAAGCAGCACATGTTTGTAAAGCCAAGCCTTTCTCATTTACCATGCTCAAGTTCTGCTGTATAATACTTTCCGTGTCCTATTAAGGAGGAAACAAGTCAACCATTGCTAAAATTGCACTGAAGGATTATCCTGAATTCCTCCTGCGCTTCTTTCCTTGGCCACAGGCGGTCCATAAAATATTCTTCACATTGTCCTGGCACCTACAGGCCCAGAAATCAATAAACGATGCAGAAAATTGACCTTAAGCTTCCAACAAGAAAACACTACCTTCAGAGATGCATCACCAGTTTCTTGGTTCGTCTGAAAGAGGTTTTGTTCGAGAACCGACTGGCTTTACATCCACAGGCAGCTTTCACCTTGTACAAAACTGCAGTCCCAGTTGGTATTCAGGCAGTGTTACAACAGACAACTTTTAGAAAAAGAACAATGAAACTTAAACTCTAATTCATGCGAGCCCGAAGATCCTGACAAATTGCTTCCAAGCTAGGTTTTATTCACCTCTCGCAATTTTACTGGGGCCTCTCAATCTGCCATTGGGAATCTCAGAAGTGTAATTTACAGCTCTGCTGATTGGTTTAGTCAGTGGTTCAGCACCTTCCCAATCCTTCGTCTCTAATGTCATATTAAATCACAGGCCCAGGAATTAGCATGAGGCTGAGCCCATTTCATTTTTCAGCTAGTCCAATTAACTTTATTTTATACTGAGTGCCTCGCTGGGCTGATCCAATGCCAGTACCCCGTCTGTACACCAGGAAGAAAGCAGAAGGCTCCTTGCTGACGCCTTCATTCATTTGCATTTTAAATGCAAATTATTTTAGTCATAATTTATTCCCATAAATGCTAGCAGTTGGCTTGTCATTGACAAACTAAAAAAAGAAAAGGGGGGGGGGGGGGGCAGGGAGCAGCAGGCACTTTCTGCCTTCTGCTAATTTTGCCAGCAACGAATAAGCTTTGCAGACCTGAGCACTGACTGTACCACTGGTCCTGGCCAGAACGTACAAATCAATAGTACAGAAAAGTCTCAGGCTAACGTCACTGAACTGCATGGTGGAAAAAAAAACATATTATTTCCACATAGACAAAGAAAAGCTGCGGGAAAGATATTTCTGGGCATCGCTAGACAGCAAGTCATGCCATTATCGGTGACTAGAGCCCAACATTTGCTTTCTCGTGCCGAGCAATGCAGTACACGTGTGCCACACGGTCCCCCACACAAGCAGAGACCAAGGAGCTGTGCGATGGCTGTTCTGACTTCCTATTAGACCCACACATCCTTAGGTTCTGGGATAAAGGAACAGAAATCCTATCTGCATTAATATTATTCGATACAAAACATCCAGAAAAAGCACTGAGGAGAACAGGAAAAAAGAAATACATGTACCTGCGCGCAACGCTTTAGCTAAGGGATTCATTAGTACGGAAAAATGAAGTGCAGCAAACAATGATTAGGACTGACAAACACCAGCCTTGCTCTCCAGGTGTTGAAAGCCAGGGTCATTTACAAATAAATATTATTTTTATATATATTACAGCACACACAAGCTCTGGTATATAAATAAATGTCATCCATCCCTACATAGCACCTTTCATCCAGCTATCTCAAAGCTACTCATTATGTTACTAAGGATTAATTCAGGGATTTTCTCATACCTAATCCTACCGCTTTCACTGAACTCCATCTCTCATTTTATCACGTATACGATCACCAAGAGGTCTAGAACTGCTTGTGTGAAGCGTGACAGCATTTATGTCAGTAACATAATCTGAACAACAACTTTTACAGACAATTAAATGCCTATCCTGTTGTTATTCTTTGGCTGGTTTATCCCAAACAGCTCTTTTTCTTGACTGTCATTATTAATCAAGAGCCAATTCAGGTAATTGCACTAACAATAGCCAGTAGTTTAATCAATTACCTAATTGCTTAGAAAAAGAAAAATAAATGCTAGAGGTTTCAAGTTTGGGTGGTTTGGGGTTTTTTTACAAATATAATTATCCTGTTAGTAATAACGCAATTAAATCAACCAGTGATTGAATTAAGAGAGAGGCACGGTTCTGGCTAATTCCACGTGGTGCAACAAGTAGCAGAATTTTTGGCTGACCTTCCCTACAGGCAGATATTGAAGGTCTGAAGGAAGATGCTGACTCACTCCTGCAGACTCATTTTGGCACAAATAACTTACAACTTGAGTGGAAAGGAGACCGAAGGGTTCAGACGGGTCTTTAATAGACAAAACTGGGCATTAAGATTCATACCTGCAAAAAAACAGTACCAAAAAGTTGGAAAAGAAAGCAGAAGACAGTGATTTCAAGTTTTGCCATGGTTCTAAAGGTTAGCGGTAATCTCAAATCTCAGGGAAAAAAGCAAGGTTGAGCCAAATTCAGTGGCTCGGTGGTGCAGTTTCTATAAATGGTACTGTTATTGCTGTTCTTAACAGAAATGGAAAAAATACACTGCTCAGCCCAGACAATTGTGTAGCAATAACAATCAGACAATATTAGGAGCTGCAGGATTTGCTGATGCTTTCAGCTTCTGTACTTCAAAATACATCCTAGGATCTGCCCCTCTGGTATGCATTCCTATCAAAGAGTGGACCTCCGCGAATCCTCATCGCTTCTATCATCACCAAAATACACAGAAAAGCATGTTTCCCTGGAAACTTGGATGTGCTGAGTGAGAAGTCAGTGCAAGAGCAGACAGGCCACATCCCACAGAGGTCCCAAGGCCAGGCAGCGAGCATTGGAATTTAGCTGGTACGAAAGCCAGTAGTGAAACAAGACCTGCAGTTAAGGTCAGGAGCTGGAAAGCATGATCTGGTCCAAAGCCACTGACAACAAAACTGCAAGGAAACACAAACATCTGAGTAAGTTTTCTAACACTGATGACAGAAGAGACCAAAATAACTTTGCTCACTAGTCCTCCATAGGATGCTCTCCCTCATTAATCCTCCATGATCTTATTTTCTCCTTTAAATCCCCCTCTCGATATCCGTTGCAGCTGCGACACTGACAGCCACAGTGCCTCGAGATTTTAACCATTTCCCTGTGGTCTTCTCTCAGCAGAGATGTCTCGCTGCAGAAGGAAGCGGCAGATGTCCAGCTCAGCACACAGCCACGATATTTTTTCAAATTAGCTGCAGAAGAATCGTGATGAGTACATTAGGGTATGTGCCATCTACACAAAGGCTGTTAGCAATACCAGTTTGGGAGATGTAGGTAAAGAAGATACTTATTCTCTCAAAGGGTCTAGCTGGAAGCGTTGTTGGGTTTTTTAGCAGGAATAAATGTGAAACTTTGGGCATAAGCATTGCCAAACAGCTGGCATGCAAGGGAACACTCTCTGCTTGTCTCTGCTTGCTCTCCGCACTGTTTGCCCACGGATCATCCTTTGCAATTGTTGATTCTTCTCCCCGTATCTCACACACATCAGACATTTTCAGACAAGCTAAATGCCACGGCAAGCACCTCAATGGGAAGTTCTGCAGCATCCAAGGGACACGCACACGCGTTATGAGACCTATCACCCAATATATCAACGGCAATTCTGTCACTACCCCAACGCTTGCGTACAACCTGATAAGCGGCATGCTCGTGAGCAGGAAGCAATGCCACCATGGGAGATGCTAAACCATTTACAGAAACTGTGAAGACAGCATTTTCCTCCCCAAAACAGCAGGCATGCCTCACCCAGTCCAGGCTGGGTGATGACACAAGCCGAAATGGTAATAGGTATAAATATAACCCAGCATCACTCCAGTACGTCAGCGGCAGGACGCAGTGTGTCATATATAACGTGAATCAAGATATAACGTGAACCAAGAACCCACAAAACTGCCATTACTTTAAAAGAAAGGCACATCTAAATTCAACACTGATGTTACCTTCCACATACCCAAATGCTGGTGCACATCCTGGCACACAAAATATCTACTCCAGTGGAGGATAAGCTCATTCTGACTTGTGTTTGCTGGAGCTCTATCTGAGGTGGCACCCATGGGTGTTGCCCTTGAGCTCCCTATGATGTGCCCACGTTTTTGCCAGGTAGAAGCACGCTCAGAGTTCGGAAGCGACACTAGCGTGGAGCTGTGCTTATCTCTTGGCAAGGCTTATCAGTGCAGGAACAACCTGGTGCTAACCCCAACCAGAAAGCATCCCATTTAGAGTTGGAGCGCGGTCAGCAGACACGCAGGGCAGGACGAGTATTCTCCTACGTGTCCGTGCGCCCATAATATCCAGCTGTCTGCCTCATCAGGTAACTGCAAGGACATCCACCACCTCTTCAAGACAAAACAGGTTCGTTTCAGTATGCCATTCACATTTACCTTCCTTTTCTCAACACCCTCTGGGGACCTGCTGGTGTCAGAGACCTTCCTCTTTAGTTCTTGCCTTTTATACCCAATCCAAAAAATCTCATTAACGGTGAAGCTTCTCCTCTGCAGCTCCTGATGCCTGGAAAGCAGTCTTTGTGTCGTTGTCTGAACAGTTTTTCATCTTTTTTGGAAATCTCACTTGAAAACTCCTTTTGGCCACCGCGATACTCTAACCCCTCTCTCCTGTTCCTGCAGTGTGTCGTTTTCTCTGAAGCCGTGTTATGAAGTCAGCAGCTTTCCCCATTCACTGCATTCAGCTCCGCAGGACGAGAAAGCACCGCTCAGGGGCAATGCTCCTCATTCACCACCCAACAGCAACATCCTCATTAGCCTTGCTGTCCTCAGCAGAAGACACCCCACCCTCAGCCGTCACAGCACCCATGCCATGTCACCTCGCAGGTGCGCCTATGACCCCTAAC